CAACGCAGCAGGGGGGCTTTGCAGGCGGCATCCCCTCGGGCAATTGCAACACGCCAATAACAGAACACTTGAACCTGTTCCGCAATCCCACTTAAGCAGCTGCCACCACTGTCTCATTCTCTGTCAGGTCTGGCTGAACGTGGTCAGCATCGCCAGTGGCCACTGCCACCTGAGAGAGCAATTAGGAGTTCTGTACACAATAAACCATTCCTTCTGGTAACTTCTGCCTTCTCCCTTCCAACCTGGGATTTCGACCTGATGATTGTAGTGATCTAGGCACAAACACGACTTAGACCGCTTCAAAACCTCCAACTAGGTGAGGATGCCAGCTCAGGGACAGTAACAATGAGCTCATAATTTGGACGTAGAATAACGTACCTAAATCACCCATGTCGTCTTTTTTCGATGGCCTGCGATTTAGATGTTGTCGTAGCGCGTGTAGACTGTCTGATGTAGGACGAAGTCGGTATACATCATTGAAAGGACGATCCCCAAGCAGGGATGGTAAAATACCCACAGATGTCGTTCAGCTTCCACGCTCACCACCCAGCCTCCACAACCACGGAGCTGGACAGACCGAAAAAGTGCATGGTATATGCGAATATATGTGACAGTTTCACAGGGGTGCGCGGGGCTGAGGTCTGGCACGTGAAAAGTCTGATAAGATATCGCAAATCCCGGTAACTGCCTGATGACAAGACAGTAGGAGTCCGCGCGCCCTCTGCTACTGTGCTGACTCATCCTGCCTGCGTCTGCCATGATTCACATTAAAGTGTAGGCGCGCTATCGGCCATTCTAACGCTATCGATTGACACGTCGCGTGATGAGTGTGTAAGCTCAAAATCAATTGATATTTCCACTTCATCTGATTGGCTGTAGATGACACCGTACTAATCACGCAGGCAAAGCTACACAACAACGCACAGCTTCACGGACACACCTGGGATGCAGATATAGCTGGCAGCTGGCTCGTTTAACAGCTCTTGCACGGTTCCTTTTCTTGCAATAAAGCTGTTCCCACCAAATCGGTCTTACCTGACTTGTGATTTGGGCAACCTTCTCCTGTCGACACTACTACTTACGACAAGAAGACTTTTAACTATCATTAAAGAATTTGCTTGCCACTGCTGTCTTAGTCTACAGCCTTCGAGCCAAAAGTCGGAACAAATAACCTCGAACAAGCATTCCAGGCTGCTGTTGAGGATCCACCTTTACTCCCAATTACTATGAAACTTCCTGAAAATACGTCCCAATACAGTATTACGCCCCCTTTCTCTGGCATCGCGTTATAATGACAGAAAAAGAAAAGCAGTTGAAAATTAGGGTTAAAACGACGGCTACGGAACAGCATGCGGGTCTGCGAGCATCACAGCTCAATCTAATAAAATGTTTTTTTTTCGGAAAATTCAGCGTGGAATTGCTCCCGTGACTTTTTACTTATTCGCAGAAATTAGGAAAAAACTAAACAGACAAACTTTTCAGAACGAGATTAAGACAAATAACTGGACACGCTTAACAGCACGGAATGGTGGAAAACCCCTTAGGACATGTGCATACCATCTAATGAACCCTATTCTGAAGGAGATACATTTTAAGGTGTTATCTTAAATGAAAAACTTAACTGAATGAGTCTAATTTTGGAACCCCTCATATTGTAGGGATTTTGTGTAAACCAGGAATGTCTCAGTGAACATATTCCTCGAGTAAATGGATAAACAAAGTTTACTACTGAACTGAATGTGTCAATCAAGCTTACCTTGTCAAAATAATATCCTCCTAAAAAGAAGAATCAACAGGATAAAATAGCTTTGGACAAAATCAAAACTCTTCTGTAAAAGATGTTTTTTGAAGGGCACTAACATAAACGTTCCTCTCGGTCAAAGACAAAGACAACACGCCTGTGCAGACAATTGGACTCCTTGCTTGATCCCATAGATTAACGCTTTTCGTTTTTAACCTTAGTAAAGTTCCAAAATGAAACGACAACCTGAAGACCTAATGGCTGCTTTCCATAATGCTTCCATTGAGAGGGTTTTTTGCATCTCTGTGGAGGGGCTTGTAGCGGACAGCCAACAATGCTGTCTCCGACTTCCTTGTTTAGTACCCGCTGCGGGTCAGCGTCATGCAACTTCACAGACAGCGCTTTCCGACTGGCTGACCAGAAGACCCTTGACCGACATTCCCACGTGCGCACTCATCCGCGTCCAGATAGCCACGGTTACCGAAGGACCACTTGAACATGCCACCCATCGGGCGATGCAACACGCCAGTCGCACACCACTTTAACTTGCCTCACAATCATGTTAAATCAGTTGTCACCATCACTTTCTCTCTCCCACAGACAATCACAGTCTCTCAGACCTGACTGGACGCAGTCAACACTATAGCTCTGGCTCTTTCGGTGGCCTGGGACAGCAAGTTAGGGTTCGGCGCACAGCAAATCCCCCCACTGGTGCCTTCTATCTTTTAACTACAACCTTGGATTTTGCCTGAAGATTGTAGTGATCCGAGTACACTCACTGCTCGTTCTCAATGGGCCTTTTGTGTTTTGCTCTCTTACGTGAATTCAACATGGTGACATTTGAAATTCCCCACCTACTTCAACCTACATGAGAGCAATGGCAACTGATAGGTCAACTCCGTTCAAAGGCATAACAACGGAAAGCTGAAAAAAACTGACTCACCGTGGTAAAAATGTAGCGAACCAAAGCTGATAAACATTCTCGCATATAATTCGCTGACCTGAAATCGGGATTTATATGAACCGCCTTTTTAGCGACGTCCAGTAGAGCATGCGGAGAAGAGTTAAGTATCGCCTCAAAAACAACATGAGAGAACTGACAAATGTACTATTTAACCGTTTATACTTATCCGAAACTGAATCACCCGAGTTTCGTAGATTC